CCAAATTCTTGTTACTCGTATATTTCTGATCATTTTTATCCTGTCTGCAGATTACACAAGAGATCTCTGTCTACCTGAATACATCACAACGGGAGGAACACCATACTGACATCTTCCCACATCTAAATAATCAACACCACGAGAACATCTGAACCATCAAGCAGAGCTGTTCATCTTCTGAGTTTGACCACATTCTATAGACTAGTTACTGGAAATGCATGAGTGTTTTAATTTCTGGTCAAAATATTCAACTGACCGTCACGTACAATAAAGAAAAACACACATACACCGCAATGCTATAGAATAGAGTATAAATGCATATAAAAACATACATTTGTACAGTAGGATATCTATTAAGATTTACAGTAGGATATAGATTTTTTATTATTAATGTAGTATTCGTGATGAGTGGAAAATTCCTTAAATGGTTTCATGCTGTAACACAATAAAACGTGAAAACGTGAATTTCATTGGCACCTTATATATAGTTTAATTAAATATGTGTAATAAAGTGTATTCATTTTACCCTACATATCTTACACACGCATGTACAGTACATGCGTGCTTGGTGTGTGTGTAAAAGGTAGACAGCAATCAAGAAAATATACATAAGTCGGGAACATAATGTATCAACACATCAAGGTTTAACCAAGCAAAAAACTTACTCAGATGGTTTAACGAAGTCCCAATAACTTCAATTCTCTGGTATACCCAAAATCTGAAGGACAGTTTATCCGAAAATGTAAATTCTGTCATTATTTATGCATCTTCAAATCTATACCATCATGTTAGACAAAATGTACAGGCTCAAGTCATTTTTAAAATAGTCTAAAAGTGGACCATACAACCCATGCCTTCAGTTTAAGTCTTCTGAAACCATGCTATAGTCTTGAACAGCATTTATGTATTGGTTTTTATATTTGCTGACATACATGTGTAATTTAAATATGCTAATTACATCAATAACTGACATAATTAAGATTGTTGTTTAAAGTGTCTCATGTAAACATCCACTATCCTTGGGACAAAACGTCATATATGAAACAACAGTTTCACATAGATCTAATTTGAAAAAAAAAAAAAAATGCTTTACTTACAGGCGGCAAGAATAAATAATTGTAAAAAGTGATGACAGTATAACATGTTGATCTATTTCTATGAGTAAAAGGATGAAACATTAAACACTGTAGCCAATCCCAGTCCTGTCTGTTTAACAAATATATTTAGCGATCCTACATTTAGATTTTTGCAGTCGTACTATAGCACACTGTAAATAGAGCAAACTTGATGTAAATAAAATGATTGAGCGGTGAAGCAGTCATATTAATTATATGTGGATTTGTGGAGAGAGTGCAGAACTTGAACCTAATTGAAGTGACTGCAGAACTCTTTGTTGTCTTGTATATTCTCTAATTTATTATAGACTACTTAACTAATATTTGAGAGCTAAATTGAGAAAGTCAAATCAATTTGGAGGGTTAGATGTGGACCTGCTGGTTATGACAACATCTCTGCAGGCACTTTGATGTCAAAAGGATATCAAAAAACACATTAAAAATGCAAATCGATTTGATGTCAAACCTTTGACGTCAGTTTAACATCAACACATTGATGCCATTTTGACCTATAAAGTAATGACTCAGAAAGTATTTTTATGTAAGAAAGGTGCAAACTTACACTGGAGTTTGTATCCCTATAATACATGTAAACTACCTTGATCTCGTTGCCGTCAAAAAACATGTACAAAATATTTTTCTGGACAGTAATTTGTTTTAATGTGTGTTTTTTTTTTTTTTTTTTTTTTTTACGACAATTTCCATTTGATGTTGTTTTGACATCAAGGTAGTCAATTGACATTAAAGGTTCAAGAAACACTCAAGTATTATTTTGTGATTTTAGCATATTTGTGTGTGTTGAGCATCAGTTAATACAATGTTAACATCTGTCAGCTTTAATTGTGGAGAAAACGGGATAGTTTTGAGCTTTTGTCAACTAATTTCATTTTCTGGGTTTAAAATCATTTTTGGGCTGGGATCATTTACATTTACATTTACATTTAGTCATTTAGCAGACGCTTTTATCCAAAGCGACTTACAAATGAGGACAAGGAAGCAATTTACACAACTAAGAGCAACAATGAATAAGTACTAAAGGCAAGTTTCAGGTCTGTAAAGTCTAAGAAGGGAAGTGTTAGTAGTTGTTTTTTTTTTTTTTTTTTTTTTTTTTTTTTTTTTTGTACAATTAGTGTGATATTCAAAGAGGCAATTGCAGCTTAGGAAGTGAAGTGGAGACTAAATAGTTGAGTTTTTAGTCGTTTCTTGAAAATAGCGAGTGACTCTGCTGTTCTGATGCAGTTAGGGAGTTCATTCCACCAACTGGGCAGATTGAGCGTGAGCGTTCGCGAAAGTGATTTTTTCCCTCTTTGGGATGGAACCACGAGGCGACGTTCATTCACAGAACGCAAGTTTCTGGAGGGCACATAGATCTGCAGAAGTGAGTGCAGATAAGAAGGTGCTAGGCCAGAAGTCACTTTGTAGGCAAACATCAGAGTTTTGAATTTGATGCGAGCAGCAACTGGCAGCCAGTGCAAACGGACTAGCAGCGGAGTGACATGTGCTCGTTTAGGTTCATTGAAGACAACTCGTGCTGCTGCATTCTGGAGCAGTTGAAGAGGCTTGATAGAGTTAGCTGGAAGCCCAGCTAGTAGAGAGTTGCAGTAATCCAGTTTGGAGAGAACAAGAGCTTGAACAAGGAGTTGAGCTGCATGTTCAGATAAGAAGGGTCGGATCTTTCTGATGTTATAGAGTGCAAATCTGCACGATCGAGCAGTTCTAGAAATGTGGTCAGAGAAGTTTAGTTGGTCATCAATCGTTACTCCAAGGCTTTTCACCATTTTGGATGCAGTAATGGTTGCCCCATCCATCTGGATTGAAAAGTTATGGTGTAGAGTCGGGTTGGCAGAAACTACTGCGAAGTTCAGCTGAAGATGATGATCTTTCATCCAGTGTGAAATATCCAACAGGCAGGCTGAGATACGAGCTGGAACCGAGGGATCATCAGGATGAAAAGAGAGGTATAGCTGGGTGTCATCAGCATAGCAGTGGTAGGAGAATCCATGTCTCTGGATGACTGGTCCTAGAGATGATGTGTAGATGGAGAAGAGAAGTGGCCCAAGAACAGAGCCTTGAGGTACCCCAGTGTTTAGATGCTGTAGGTTGGACACCTCTCCCCTCCAAGACACCCTGAATGACCTGTCAGAGAGATAAGATCTAAACCATTGTATAACAGTGCCCGCAACGCCCAGTGACTCAAGCGTAGATAGCAGGATCTGGTGGTTGACAGTGTCAAAAGCAGCTGACAAGTCCAGCAAAATGAGGACTGATGATTTAGAGTCTGCTTTAGCCAGTCTGAGATCCTCCACGACCGAGAGCAGGGCAGTCTCAGTTGAGTGGCCTTTCTTAAAGCCGGATTGCTTGTTGTCCATGAGATTGTTTTGAGTAAGAAAGTCCAGGACTTGATTGAACACTACTTTCTCCAGAATCTTGGCCATGAATGGAAGCAGGGATACTGGTCTGTAGTTTTCAAGTAGCGTATGGTCCAGGTTGGGTTTCTTTAGCAGTGGGGTTACCCTAGCCTGCTTAAATGTAGTGGGGAATAAACCAGAGTCAAGAGATGTGTTAATTATGTGAGTCAGTGTTGGTATGACTGCAGGAGAGATGGCTTGCAAGAGATGAGAGGGAATGGGATCGAGTGGACAGGTGGTTGCATGGCTAGATAGCACAAGTTTGGACACCTCAGACTCAGAGAGCTGAGAAAAAGAGGTGAGTGTGTGTGGTGTTGGTGTTGTATCTTGCGTGTTTGTTGTAGGTGCAGCAAATTGAGCACTGATTTTTGCAGTTTTGGTGCAGAAGAATGTAGCAAAGTCATCAGTAGTAAGTGTGGAGGATGCGGGTGGAGGAGGAGGATAGAGGAGGGAGGAAAATGTTTTAAAAAGTAGGCGAGGATTAGTGGCATTGTTGATTTTCAGACGGTAATACGTCTGCTTTGCAGATCAAAATCTGTGACATAGCGTGAATTTGCCTGTCCAGTGATGTTATGTCGGTTTTTCATTATTATTCATAGCTGAGTTTTCTTATCCTATGAGTAGGGTTAGACAGAATCTGCAGACATTTTTTGCTATTTCTGCGCAGAATTTAAAAAAAAAATCTGCATATTTATGCAGAATGATTTTGGGAGAATCATAACTAAAAACTTTTTATATTAAATAAAAACATACCGTTTTAAATTTATTTAATGTTTACAATGCAAATCCATATAATAGATCCACTTTATTTGGTAAATTTATTTGATGTTATATGAGCAAGTCGCTCATATAATATCTTTACTATAAGTATTACTCTCTACTATATATTACTTTACAAACTGTAATTTAAATTTAATTTTAATTTGTAATATTTGTCAGATATACTATTAAAATTAAATGAAGTAAATAAACAGAATCAAATATGGGCTAAAAATCTGCGGAAATCTGATGAATTGTACATCTATGAATTGTACATCTTTGATGTATCTGTCAGGGCCGATACAGCAAAGCTGTTGGTTTGCAACAAGCATTTTTGTCAGGAGAGCTGTACAAGAATTGGAGATGATAGAACTTTGTCTCTTATCAGTTGAGTTTGTTATCATTAAGACAAATTGCCTATTTCGATGTTGCTGTGTTTGCATATGTTTAAAATTTTCGGCATTACTGGCAGTATTAATGGTTGAAATATAGGGCAAGAGACCTGATGCACTGCTCCACTGTGTCCTGGGAGTTCAGGAGGAGGGAATTGCTACTCCTTTAAAGTGTTTATATAAACATGATTATCTTTATAATGATGTAACAAATTATGGTTATATATATATATATATATATATATATATATATATATATATATATATATATATATATATATATATATATATATATATATATATATATTACGAATAACACATGTAGCTACTGTTTATTTCTTTGCATTTTAACTTTGTAAACTATAAAATCATGGGTCTTCTCACGGTTTGTGTCTCAACTGACAACAGTTGATCACTCCCCTTTTATCCCCTGTTCTGTCAGCCACGCCCAGTCCTCCCTCTGTCTCAGCACTCCACGCGCAGCATGAGGCATTATTTGTTTAAATCTGAGGTAGACTTGAGCTGAAAGAGGGGGGGTTTCATGACTCTTCAAATCGATTTGCATTTTTTAATGTCAGACAGTATTTTTCATTTATTTAGATAGCCAAAAAAATCATTCCCACTTTCTCAATGCAGCTCTTACATATCATTTAAAGGAGCTTTTTTATTTAAATGCAAAAAAAAAAAAAAAACCCTCTTTGAAATAATAACAATTAAAATATTAATTCAATCACAATAAATAAATGACAATACTGTTGTTTTTTTTAATCCAACAAATAATTGTGTTAAAAGCAATGATAACCAAATAGAATACCCCCTTCTTCTTCTTTTAAACACAAGCATTTAAATATGCATTCAACAAAACTGCAAACTGTTAATAAACCAAACTATATTGTGTGCTACTGTGAATTTCATACAGTATATACAATATAGTTAAATATCTTTATATTTTTTGGTGTAAACAGGCCATAAGATTAATTTATTTAATTATAAAATCACAATTCTAAACTTTGCATCATATCTATATGATGCATCTATATATCTATATATCGCTGAATGTTATCACAGGAGGGAATTTGTCAGTTTTTGTCAGTGAAATATTTGTTTAATATGTAAATAATCTAAATATAATGCTGTAAGCTTTACTTTTCAACCATTTTCACTTTAATCATGTTGCAACAGATAGTCTCGAATAGTGGAGGCACTTTTTTGCCACAATATTGAATTTAGTTTATTATTATTATTATTATTATTATTATTGCCCTAAACCCTCTTTAATTTCCAACCATGTTAAAAGATAACCAAATGCATTTTTGTGTGGAAAAAAAAATAAAAATTGCAATATTCTGCCAAACATGCAGGTTTGGAGTAATATGCATATAAACAATGACAGACATTTCATTTTTGTCTAAACTTCTCCCTCAACACTTAGCATCCATAGATGTTCTTGAGCCGTCTACCGGCTGAGTTTTCTTGGGACTTCGAGAATGCTTTCTGTTATTTTTTTGAGAGATACTCTTCCAGGTTGTCATTGCGACACTGGGAACTTCTTTTTTTCTAGAAAAAAGCTCTGCTTGAACCACTCCATGGATTTGCTCTTTGTCCTCATCAGAGGAAGCTTCACTCTTGGAGCTCATCTCCACCGCAGGCTCTGTAAACACTATCAGCTGATTCTTCCGATGAGGAACTTCACCCACAGGACTCCTCCCAGCGCCTTTCTCCTTGGTCAGCACAGTGACAGTCATCTGGGCTACGCTGTGGTTCAGAGATGTACTCCGGAGGAGCATATTGGAGCGTGGCTGCACCATCTGGATCCCGCCGATAGGAATGGTGAGGCTGAGATTGGGAATCATCACCTGAGGCTGGGAGTGCAGAGGCAGGTGACTTAACACACGCTGGCCTTCCCTGGGCTGCATGTTCCTGGACAGACGCCCGTGTGCTGGAGGCCAAGACTGGGTCATGTTGGTCCTTCTGTGAGGACTGTGTGTTTTCTCCTTGAAAGGAGACAGAAAAAAATATTTTAGTGAATTCACCAAGTGGTCTGTTGGATATTGTAGAGTGACCACTAATGCAGTCATCTTTATTCTAGGAGCAGGACGTTCTTTCTAAAGAGTGTGGTAAGTCTTGTTTTGCGGATTTAGCTAAAGATAATTCTGGTTCATCCCAAATTAGTATTTCAGACAGTTGATGGTAAACAGATGAGTATATATTTTTAAGTTCAGCCATCATTTCTTGGGTTGGTATGGAAGGTTTTGGTTTTAATTGTATGTAAAGACCGGTGGCCTCGCTGCTATTTCTGATAAAGGTGTGACACTAAAATAACACACAGTGTGCTTTTAGAATCAGGATATTTGTTTTTGCGTGTTTATTTTGGCTGTTTTTGGCTGTCTTGTTTTCAGATGAATAGCTTTTTGTGCTATAATAAAAATGGTCTTTCTATTAGTGGACTAAAACAAACTTGACAAAGAAAGAACGATCCGCATATTTAGTTATGAAGACAGGAAACCCACAGTTTACTAACTGAAGCGTGGCTCATTCAGAAATATTTTCCAAATATATATATTTTTTTGTAAATCTGTGTTGTGCTTAAAAAATAATAACCAGGACCCGTATTTATCAAGCGTCTGAGAATTACTTAAAAGAATACAATTGACTTAAGAGTAAAAAAAAACTTGTTGGCACAAAGCTGCACTTAAAGGTTACTTATCATGCATTTCATTCATAATTTTAGTGAAGGGTAGGAAAAAATTCAAGTGTCGTTTTAGAGGTGATTCACAACACTTATCTGTGCCACAAATGGATTTTTGCATGACGACCATGACACCATTTCTTAATTTAAGGACATTTTCTAAATAATTCATGTAATAATAATTCACACATTAGGGAATTTAAGATAATATATTACAATATATACTTGACATTGGAAAGGAAACAACACGTTAATATTTGTACCAAGTTTTATTAATAACATTTTTAACCAGAGTGCTGTTAGTGGTGGTGTGACCAACCTCAAGTCATTGACAAATGATGGGCTGTCTAAATCAGGGGTGCCCGAACTTTTTGGGCTGAAGCTAAATATACCATACAAAACTTTAATCGTATTAATCATTATAAATATATATTTTTTAATTTTATAATATACTTCTTACAATAAAACCATAAACAATCTCATTTATAACACATTGGAGTTCAACTGAGTTTTACTTGATAGGGAATCGAATGTGTCATAATTGGGTTTTTTGCTACATGCCACTCATGTACAGTTGAAGTCAGTACTATTAGACACCTTTTTCATTTTTTTTTCTTTTTTAAATATTTCCCAAATGATGTTTAACAGGGCAAGGAAATTTTCACAGCATGTCTGATAATATTTTTCCTTCTACTAAGGTCTTATACGTTTATATTGGCAAGAAAGCAGTTTTTAACATTTTTTTGAACACCATTTTAAGGACAAAATTATTAGCCCCTTTTAGCAATTTTTTTTTTCCGATTTTTTCGAAAAAAACATCGATATACAATAACTTGCCTAATTACCCTAACCTTCCTAGTTAACCTAATTAACCTAGTTAAGCCTTTAAATGTCACTTTCAGCTTTATATAAGTGTCTTAAAAAATATCTAGTCAAATATTATTCACTGTCATTATGACAAAGATAAAATAAATTTTATTAGAAATTAGTTATTAGAAATGAGTTATTAAAACTATTATGATTAAAAATGTGGTGAAAAAATATTCTCTCCGTTAAACAGAAATTGGGGGAAAAAATAAACAGGGGGGGGCTAATAATTCTGATTTCAACTGTATATTTGTCCATAAAATGTCTAAAAAAATTGTTTTGGGGTTTTATGACCCTTTCAAAATCTGACTAATTTGCAACATTTAATTAAAACATTTAATTTCTGTTTTGCTTTTTTAGTAGCTCAGCAACAAACAAACAAACAAACAAACAAACAAAAGGTTATGTTAAATTAAAAATGACAATCTTTATTTAAGGGATTTGCCTCAACCTTCCCCATCAGTTGTCGCCATCTGATTGGTTGACGGACCAAATTAAAGGTTAACCTGGGCCAACTTTGGCCTGTAGGCCCTAGTTTGGGCATCTCTGGTCTAAATGATACCATTTGATTAACTGCTTGCTGTCAAGCATATAAAAATCATTATTGCTCTACTGAAAGATTTGTATAGTTCTCTGTCTCCAAACCAAGGATCTGCAACCTGACGGTGAATCACTGTCCGGTTGCCAATTTTTTGCAGTGGAAGTTTAGTCAATTGCACTGCTCGCATTTCACTACTCAGACAACAAGTCATTAAAAAATGTGTGTCGCACAGTTCTCTACTCCACAGCACCACCACAAGCCCTTACTGCCAATTCCTAAGCACTTGAGAGACCTCTCAAACTGTGACAAATAACTGGAAGAATAAGAGGAATTCTTAGTTTTGAGAAATTTGAAAACTTGTCTTCAAACTAAGGTTTGCAAGTAGGAGTAATTTCATGTGAGGCACTTTGAGAAGCTTGATAAATATTGGCCCAGACTCTGGAGATCATTGCTGCATTCTGTAGTACAGCGACATAATCGATCAAGTCCATTACGTACCGGACATTGAGAGGTTGGTGTAGACGTTAAAATGTAATGAGTTATTTATTAAGAAATACAATTAGTTCTCTTTCTAGCAACAACTGCTCATGCATGCACATTTACTTCGTTCTAAACCTGATGCCGTACGCCATCGTACTACAGGGTTGTGATATAAACTGAATTATATTGGCTGTTTTTGAAAAGGAGGAGGAGCTGCTCTGTGCCCCGCCCTGTCTTCTTGCTTCAGGTGAGTTTACTCAACAGCGTCAAACAAAAATGCACATTCAAAGCACTTCACAAGACCTTTAAGAATTTAGTAGCTGAGACCTAGTCTTAACACTTAAGGGTATTGCACACAGAATCCAAAATTTTCATTTGTAATTTTTACACAATAAAAAAATTACTTCGACCTTAAGTTGTGTAAATCGTATTGACAAAGCCTCTGAAAACTTAGTTTGTCATAAACTAAGACAAACTGGGTTCAACTTTTTTCTGCTTTTTGCATCTAAAAAAAGTGCTTTTAGAGTTGTTTTGACAGTTCAGAGCCACCATACAATTGAAAAGCTAAATACAGAATGTTGTCATTTGAGCTACAGTACAGATAACTTTATAACAAACACAGTGCATAAAATAAAGACAAAATGTGGTAGATAATTGAGAACCCTACATGCTGGATTCAGTAACTGGCGCATCTCTCACCTTCTGCTGCTTGGTGTGTGCCTGTGTACGTGCATGTGTGTGTGCGTGTGTGCGTATGTCCATATATTTGACGTACTGCATCAAAAATATAGAAAGAGACATTATAATATTACAATAGAAAGCATGGTCTGCTTTCGATCTGTTGCTGTCAATGCTGCCGCCATCTATTATAATCTCCAGTTACTGCCAGTCTCTGTTCTGGATTTGTTTATGTACGTGAATGTGTGAAGTATCACAAGTATTGTATCAAAATTCTATTGGGTTCCTGAAATAAACTTTTCATTTTGGGATACTCTGGCGCAGTTCTTTGATAATGAACTGAACTCTGCTTCCTCAACGCAGTGTGAACACAATATGTAACCTATTCCTCTTTCTTTTTCTACGTTGGAGAAAAGAGAACAAAGTATTACTGTTACTAACTCCAAAATGTTGTGCATTTTTTTTCGCAATTGATTAATTAAGATTCATCTAACTCAGGTTTGTTTACTTCGCATATGAATACGAAAAAAAAAAAAGTATATGAAATTTTTAGACTCCCGTATGCAAAGGCCTTTAAAAAAGCTTATGAATCACTCTTATTCTTAAGTTTAGCTTAAGAAGACAATTTATTTCTATGCTTAGAAATTTGACACACTTAAAAGTTCTACTCTGTGCAACTTCATACATACGGCCCTTGATTTCGAATGTGTCTTAAGTGATCTTATCACAGTCTGCACAAAAATGAATGCCCATAGAGCATGAAAAAGCCACATGAAGTCACTCACCGTTTTTTTCTTGAGGTTTAACCTGTTAGGTGAGGCTTTTGTTGAAGCTCTGGGTCTGTCAGCTTGGTACTGAATAGTTACACTGGCCCCAACAGTCAACGCCAGGGGACAACTGGGAGACGAAGGCCGTATGGGGGACAGGTCTCTAATGGGGGACACACGTCTCTCGGAGAAGGATGAAGTCGAGCGGTCAGAAGGAGACAATGAGGACAGACAGGATGATGGAGACAGACTTAGTCTTGGAGAAGGACATCGTAGAGGGGACATGTCCCGTCCAGGAGACTGTGGTAAAGCAGGGGACATTTGCAGGCCAGGAGAAAGGCTACGGATTGGGGATGAGCACATTCCTGTGGTGGGATCAAGGTGCAAAAGTGTCACTATAGACTTTGTTGTCTTCGGAGAGGAAGCTTCTCCATAGTGGCTGGGCTTTCGAGGGCTCATACTGACAGGCGGTTTGGGATGCTGTTCCCAGCCTGGGTTTGAAAGGCCTAAGATGTCACACGAGCCAGAATCATCTCTGGAGATGGACGTCCACTTGGATGACGAAGAGGAGCATGAAGTCTGCTCGTCACCTTCATCATTATCCTCAGCTTCGTCATCGGACTCTTCCGCATCCGAGAACTGGTGTTCTTCCACTTCCTCTGTCTCAAGGAAATGTTTAGCACTGTCACCTACAGCACAAAAGAGTCACAGAATCAGCATTCCACAGAAATTATATACAATATATTTTTAAAACAACAAATACATATATTATTTTGCATTATTAAAGGCTGTGTGGAATACTTGAATCTGATCGGTCAGCCACAACATTCCTAGGTATGTTATTCCCAGATAACAACCATCAAAACTAAGAACACAGGCTCATCCTGTGAACTTTGAATCATCTTGACTGTGCAGTGAATGCATCTGTGTCCATATTAACATGCTTGTCTGTCACGGTACTGTTTGGTGACATTTTGTGACTGAATAAAACAAAGGTTAGTGCATGCTTCATTCAGCCATTTTTATTTCTGTCAGCTTTAGCTTTAGTTATGAAATTAATAAACTACTGCGACTCAGAAATTGTTCTGTATAATTTTTTTTTACATTTTGTACAAGTAGCAGTGTATTCAGTAGGATAAAGTATATGTAGATGATGAAGCCCTCTGTTTTGCATTGAGCTGCTGATAAGCCTATAACTTTTGTTATAACAAGCCACTAGATGTACTTTATCCTTTATATATCATTATATATGGCATTTTATATTTGAATGAAGCACTGATAATGTTTTTTCCTCAAAATTTTGGATAAAACTGAGTTTTTCCACCAACTATATATTTTTTAATCTTCTGAACTTGGTACTATAAAATCTAAATTTACAGTTTTTATTTTTATGTGGAATATTGTAGAAAAAAGTATAAATTATTTACCGTTGCCATGCATTATTTGGAAAAATAATGTGCTTTTGTAGTCTTTAATTAAATAGCTCAGCATACCCCAACCGTACAATAAATTCTTTAAAGACTGAATCAAATCCCAACTTTTATCATTTTTTTTCACATTTGAGAAGCTGTTTTACTTATCTTTATCACAATAAGAAACCAAGTACAATCTTTAATACCAGATTTTAAAAAATTGGTATTGTAACACCTAAAAATTTGCATAAACATGCTGCCATTTTGTTATTTTATGCACCAAAACAATGCTCTTAATGACATTATTATTTTAGTTAGCAAGAAATGTCATCTGTAGTCTACAAAATTAAAATGTTAAAATTTAAAAATAAGCGGTCTCTATTTTTTAAAGTCTTTAATTAATGTATAACAAACATAAGTTACATTTTATTTATTACATTTTTTAAAATATTTATTGATTATTTTTTCTTCTTTATTTTTTCATCCTTATCTTCATAACTTGACATCAAAATACAGCACTTTTTTTCTCACTTTTTTCTCACCTCCTTCATCTGTCTCCAGCTCACACTGGACTGGTCCTGGAGCAGGTCCCTCTGGACATCTCTTCCCATGAGCCTTTGACTTCATATGTTTGGTTAGATTCCCTGAGGAAAGCAATATGAGAGTTTCAACATGGGAAGGAAAAAAGAATCGTATTTATATAGTGCATCCCTGCGAGAGTACAGGTGTTGACTCAGTTATCCATGTGCATATAAACAAGCTTTACTACTGATACGATAACATCTAAAATAATGCATTATAAATTTATCATTTATATTATAATATATTATAAATTTCACAAATTACAAAAATTCAAATGATAAAGAACTGGCAAGTAACATATTGCATTAAACATGACTTTTGTTTTATAGAAAGGCTAAAATAGTGTTTTGTTGGCTAAAATGTATTTGGTAAAATATACAGTTCTTCAATGTTTGTTAAACTGTATTTTAAACTGTATTTGTTAAACTGTGTTTACTGTACTATATATATATATATATATATATATATATATATATATATATATATATATATATATATATATATATATATAATTTGAATTATTTTTAAATTAATTAGTTTGTTTAAAATAAATTTTAATTATTATTCATTAGATTATTCAATTATTTGGTTTTATAAACAGCTTTCTATCACTACAGAGGATATCAGAGAATGTTTTATTTTAAATAAATCTTCTAAATCTTACATAAATCGTACTATAAATTTTACAGATAATTTTAATTGTATAATTTTATAATTCTTTCATTCTGCGTACTTCCGTTTTCCTTGAAGTGAAAGACAAAACTTATTTCGGTCATATATTTTTACACTAACATACAAAAGAGCATATATAAATAAGTAAACTAATTTAGTTTTATTTTAACAGTGACATTATTAGTGTAATGTGAACAGACATGTACTAAAAACCACAGATCTCCATTCATCAGCATTTCAGCATACCTTTGGTTTTGAAGGCAAAGTTACAGTGCTGGCAGACATAAGGTCGGGCGTCCGTGTGGAGTCGTATGTGTTTGCGCAGCATGCTTGGTTTCTTACAGCGTATTCCACACTCTTCACATACATATCGACCTCTTCCTCGTCCACGTACATACACATATTCCTCACTTGACCTGTAGCTGAAAAAACATAACATAACAGCTGAAAGAACATGTTGTGTAAATCTACGATGCAGGGTTGGACCACGATCAGACAGGAGTCACAGACAAATAACAAAATTAAGGAACACACACAAAATAATAATAATAATAATAATAATAATAATAATAATAATAATAATAATAATAATAATAATAATAATAATAACTGACCAAAAAGTAATGACAGCATATGATATTGAACTTATTCAAATAAGCTAACTATGTTACAGATTATTTTAAGTCATATAAACTGTTTTAATCAGTTTAATCTAATATGTGTTAAATTACTTGAACTTAAGTCATTTAAATTACAAAATTACTAGTGATGAAAAGAGTACTGAAAAATCATACTCAAGTAAAAGTACAGTTACTTGCCTAAAAAGCTGATGCGTTTGCATGTAATTTATGGATGTGTGTAAACGTAACATTCTGTAGTGCATCGAGTTATTGCTCAGCAATTATACAACATCATAAGACGTTAATATAGGTTTGTTTTAGGTTATGATGTCAGGTGACCAAAATTCAAGGTCTAGCCAATGTCTAAGGGCAATGTTATTTTGATGTCCAATAATGAAGTGAAAAATTTTGATATCTGATTAATTTTAGGTTTTTATAAAGTGACCAAAACCCAAGTCGAGCCAACATCTTAAACCAACATCCTATTGACGTCAAATACTGATATTTATTCATCAGATATGGCAACCAAAATCCAATGTCTGATAGATGTCATAGTGGTAACATCCACACAAGGTCAAGCTGTAACATCATTAGACGTTGCTATTTGGTTGGTTTTAGGTTGTGTAGGTATGTCATGATGACAATGAGGCCATGTTTAAGGCCATTTTGTTCATCATACAGTAAACATCCATCATCTTCTCATCAGTGACACGCAGTCTAAACATTTTCTGGGTCAATGCATGTAAAGATTTTGGACATCTTCTTGGACACTTCTAATTCTTCCAAACAGTTTTCGGCAATTATAAAGCGCACATGTCTTGAGGTAGCTCATTATGATGCGATTTACCTTATATGTGTGATTTGATTGGAATCACAGGACAGATTTTTCAAATCCTCATAGACAAGAAAAAATAAAGTAGTGACTGCAGGTTAAAGGAAAGTAGTGGAGTGAAAGTACCGATACGGCACTAAAAATGTATTCGAGGGAAAATAAAAGTACACTTTTAAAAAGTACTTAGTAAATCCAATTCCTGAGAAAAACTACTAAATTACAGTAATTTGGCTATTTGTAATTAGTTACGTTACACCACTGCTTGTAAGGTTAACTTGACTAAACCTAAGAAAATAAAGATTATTTTATAGCGTAATATAAAAAATAAAAAATAAAAAAACTACAGACAACCCTAAAATATGCATTTCTTTTGAGACTGCATTTATTTAATAAGGAATATACAAAAAATTGTAACAATATGAAATATTATTGCATTATAAAATAAATGTTAAACAATAGTTATAATCAAGTTTCAGATTCATTTCTCCAGTTTTCAGAATCATATGATCCTTCAGAAATCACTCTAATCTGAATTATTATTATCATTATCATTATTATTATTATTATTATTAATAGCAATAGTAATAGTAATACAAGCAATAAATACTGGAATAATAATAATATATATATTTTTACATTTAATAAATGCCATCTTGAACAAAATAATTTACTTAAAAAAAAAACATGACTACCAAACTTTTGATGTTTAAATATACTTGTAAGTACACATTTGTAGTTTTGTGATTTCAATTTAGCCCATTATGTTAACCTTTTGAAATTAGAAAATATTAACTTTAAATGTTAAATCAAGTTACACATTACAGTTACACTTTTAATTAAGTAATGTGTTTTAGTATTTTACATTTGACAATCGAAACAAATTATTTAAAGAAAACACACAGTTATTGCAGCAAATATTTATCATGAACTTTAAAGTAGGCCACATGTGATATGGGTTTGGAAAACATGCTGACGCTTCAATAGAAACATACATTTTGGTCATTGACTATGTTTAAATAGACATCAGTATTCGAATGATTTGCCTTAGTCTGAATAAGACAATAATAATTAAGGTGTTTACATGAGTTCCTTTTTGAATGTTCCTTTCTAAAACCCGTTTCACATGTTAAAGCACATAGTTCGATTAATGTCATATGTCACCATGCGATACACATTTCCTCCAGAGTTTCATGTAATTTTGTAAGTTTCATTTTTTTATTTGTTAACTTAAACTGCAGTTTGGCACTTTCACTTTTATTCAGGAACATTTCATGCATGAGAAGAAAAAAATCTTTCCATTAAACAGAAAACGGGAAAAAAAATAAACAGTGGGCTAATAATTCAGTGGAGCTAATAAGTCTGACTTCATTCTATTATACATATATAAGCTAAACAAACATAATGTAACATAAAAACAGCACACACTGTAAGTCCTCAACATCACCTCTAGGTTAATTAAAATACCAGTGGAGCAAAACCTCTGCGCTAGAAAATGCACATAAAGAGGCCTATACATTGATCTCACAGGTCTGTGTGGGAGATCTGATCTCAAATCTATAGCACCTGCATGCTACGCTTTTAAAGGTGTTCCTAAACAGTCTGATATGCTTGGCACAGACCCTCTTTCAGACACCACACATGCGTAAATATCCATACACCCCCTCCGCCTACCCACAGACACACAACACACACGGGTAGTCTGGCTGGGTATCCACCCTGTTTGTGTCCAGAAAGTCCCAAAACGGGGCCTCCACTTGACCTCAAACAGAGCACCATTTATAATGTCAAGAACTAGGGCCCCCCTCCCTTCCGACCCCCTTCACTGCCACCCCCGGCTCAAATATGGGGTTCTTGCAATGCCCCTCTGTGCCCAGAGTCCACACGACTGTGCCAATGCAAACAGCTGAGAGGGGGGGAACCCTAGACCCAACCAGCTGCTCATAACCAATAACGTGAGCACACATCAAGAACTGTGTGCCAGCTTTCTTAAAAATAACAGTCATAATAGGGTTCAATTTTGGGGATTTTAGTTTTTAGTTTTAGGCAGTGGAGCTATTTAATAGGCACTTATGTTATGAAACGTTCATTTCTGTAACAGACTGATGTTCTATATGCGGTAAACATAAAATGAAAGTGATCTAATTAAAAAAGTCATTCTGAATAGGGCTGTACAATACTGAAGAAAAACGTGACGTGTGATCGCATTTATAATATAATACAAAAATAAGGAGAAAGGAAACTGTTGTACGCACTCCGCTGAAGACATCTATTAGCCAACATATTTAATTTGGTTTGTTAAGCGCAAAACTATTTCTAAATTCTATGCCAGATATGGTGATGCATGTGTCTCCAAAACTCGACAAGTGGACAAATCTAAACTTCTTTTATTAAACAAATATAAATATGCATATAGTGAACACTGCTAATAATAATAACATTATACAAATGCAAACTGTCACGAATAAACTGAAAAAAAGCCGGTATTTAATCCTTTATTTTATTTTTTTCATAAAGATAATTGTTTATTTCTATACATCCTGTATATCTTAAGCAATGTGTTAGCATTTGAACCCACATAGGTGCATAACTATCACGCTTTTTTACTTTGTCAATGGTATGGTCTATTTCAGTTCCTCAAAATAGCACTGCACCAACAATGCACCTTAACACACCTCCTTTATAGACCGGCACATGCATGAGTTCACAAAGTAGCGCAAATGGATTTACTGTTTAAACAATGTGGCACAAAATGTGAAAGTTAGGGTTGCTCTTGTCTGAATACAGCAACAAATCACACCAAACACATATTGCGCCTTATTGCGCTGGGTGTATGATAGGGTCCTTAATATTTTCTTATTACATGGCTCTCTGGAATACTTGATTCTGATTGGTCACAATATTCCATGGTATGTTATTCCCAGATAACAACCGCAGATAATAATAACACAGGCTAATCCGTATTCATGCTTGTCTGTCACATCACTGTTTTTGATTGTTACAATTTTGTGCCTGAATAATACATAGATTAGTATATGCTTCATTCAGCAATTTTCATTTCTGTCAGCTTTGCGTTTAATTAAAGAAAGAATAAGCTATTACGGTGCAGAACAATGTTGTGGGTCAATTTTTTATGTTTTTTGGCAAGCAGTCATGTAATAAGTGGGATAAAGTACATCCAGTTGGTTGTTTTTGGAGAAAATAGTCTTTCATTCTTATTAACAGCCCTCAGCTTCACTCCAGGTTTCTGGGCTTGTTGAGGTTTATTCTGGAATAGCAAGGCAGAGTAAAGCTCTTAAGGCTTTTAAATAAGTCTTTTTAGGTTTTGTACAAGGGAATGGTTGTTATCGCAGATTAGAACACACCTGTCTGGCATACTCGATTCTGATCATTCAAACACAACATTCCAAGATAAGTTATTCCCAGATAACAGCTGCTGAATAACATAGGTTGTTCAGGGAACATCAAATCAAATTCGAGTTTTGACAAAAAAATTTTCAAACTCCCCTGCAAATTCTATCTGTACCAAAATAGAACAATATTTCAGCATATTTTCATATTTAGTGTAATTGCTTGGTCTAACCCAAGGTTTACTGATACAAACACATACAGGTAGTTATGTTTATATATATATATTTATATATTTATATCTTTACAACAGATTTATATCTTTATATCTTTACAACAGATGTAAAGTCAGCAACTCACTTATTCAAATGATTTGTTCAAAGTAAGTCTCCAGTAAATGCTTCACTGAATGCACAAACTATCTCAATAGTTTATAAAAAAAATGGTGCAGTATTGATGTCTAACTAAAATAAAATAATCATGTATTTTTGCTGCTGTATCACATAATAAATATTAAACTAACATGCTTACTCTAAAACTATATATATATATATATATATATATATATATATAGTATATATATATATATTTAAATTGCTTGTATTGACACCACACATTTGCATAC